TGCCGTCTCAGCTGAGGACAGATGTGTCTGTAGAAGGGTTGGACGAGAGACACGGGGGTGACGTTAAATCAGAAGACAGCGATGGGAGTGAGTCAGAAGGTAAAACCTAAGTCAGAACACACTGATATTTTCATTTAAAATGTTGATATTAAAAAAAGAAATGCTGCGTTTCCTCCAGAGAGTTTCATCGAGGTCTCAGAAGAAGAGTTCAAAGAGAAGGATGACGACGTTCCACTTGGACAGGACGCCAAAACAGAAGGTCCAGCGGGGTTTCCCAAAAGTGAAGCCATGGTGAAAGAGGTGGATGAAAGTGTGGGTCATGTCCCAGCGGCTGCTCCAACGTCAGAGGAAGACGAAGACGACCAAAGTCAACACGAGGACGAGGTGGAGCAGGGGACGGAGACGACGCCGAGCTCGCCGCCAGCAGCTGATGAATGGGAAGACATGGACGTGGTGAGTTGGTCCTGTTATCTATATATAATAACAATGTGACAGTGACAGGCAGAACTCGTAAATACTGACTGCTGCATATCAAAGAAAGCCAGTTGTTATGAATATTCATCACTGACATCTGAGTCAAATGTTGTCTGTGCTGCAGGAGGAGCTGCAGAATCTGCAGAGTTCTCTCCAGGTGCAGCAGAGCAGCCTGATGGAACAGAAGCAGCAGCAGGAGCGAATGGCCAACACCGTGACTGGACAGATGTGCCTGGAGAGCCAGGTGATCCAGAGATGAACCTCACACATGACCTGATCTGTCATTTTAGTAGTAAAGTTGATTTGGAGGAACTTCTATTCTCTACATCTGCTTTAGACAAAAATGTCACGACACCAGGAACTTTACATCGTACTAAGACAACAACAACAACAAATGCAGCAGTGACACCTTTAACGTCCTGTGTCTGAAACCAGGAGCTGCTCAGGCTTTTCGGGGTACCGTTCCTGGTGGCCCCCACCGAGGCCGAGGCTCAGTGTGCGGCGCTAGACCGGGATGACCACACTCACGGCACCATCACCGACGACTCGGATGTTTGGCTGTTTGGGGGGCGCCACGTGTACAAGAACTTTTTCAGCCAGAACAAATACGTGGAACACTACCAGTACAGTGACCTGCAGAACCAACTGGGTCAGTGCTCACCGGGTGGTTCTACTAACCTTTCTCTACCATCAGTAGATTATAGTCATGTAAAGTTAAACGTCACCTGGGACTGAACGTGATCATGATCGACACGACACAGTTACTTTTACATCAAAAAGTAATCAGAGTATTTGTAACACATTACCACCAAGATTGTGCCTGGAGTTTTGTTCCATTAAACTTGACCAGGTTCCTGGTGTAAAAATATATCATATATATTTAAATAGTACACACATTCATATATCCATGATTTCAATAGGAACACAACAACACATATATAATTCATACATATGTTGGTATACTTTGATTAAATGTATGTAGCTGAATGTAACAATACACTGATTTAGTACGGGTATTAAATATACAAATTTATATATATACAGTATATATATATATAGACTATATATATAATTTTACTGCGTCTGTTGGGGACCCCGATCCAGAGTTTTATTCCTGGCCAGGTGACATCACGTTCAAGTGTTCGGCCAAGTGGGCCTTTGAAATAGTGTTAAGAAAACATCAGAGGGGGAATCCGATCAGTGAGTGGTGGACGTGTCAGTGACGGGTGTTAATACTGTTGCTGAGTGATGAAGCTGTCAACATGAAGACCACAGAGTTCAGGGGGCTTCACGTCTGTCTGCTCTCCGTCCACATATACTCTTCGTCTTCAGCAGCTCATCCTAAAATACAATGTGTGTCTTTCAGGCCTGGACAGGAATAAGATGATAAACCTGGCCTACCTTCTTGGAAGTGACTACACTGAGGGCGTGCCAGGGGTTGGATATGTGACGGGTATGGAGATACTCAATGAGTTCCCAGGATCAGGGCTGGAGCCTCTGATACAGTTCAGGTGAGGCGGTGTGTGTATCCTACTTTAAGATCCAGTAAATAGGACTGCAGTGTGAACACAGTCAGATGAACAGAAAGTGAGCAGAGCTTTAAAAAATTCCAGTCAACAAAGTGACTCTTAAACTTTGTAGAACTGTTTCCATGTTTCTGTAAAACAAATGAAGACAACGTTGGTTAAAATACATCTGAAGAATAAGTGACTTGGTGAGGTGTAGAATCCTCATCTGTCCACTAGGTGGTTAAACTCCGGCGAGACATTTGTGTATTCAGGTTTTTTATTAAATTGTTCGTATTACAACAAAACTGTCCTTGATGTTAAAATTCCACCAAACTGTTGACAAAACTTCCCTCAGTTTTTTGGTCGATTGTTCGTCTGTTGAGTGTTTTTTTTTTTTTTCCCTTTTCACAGCACCTGGTGGTCAGAAGCTCAGGAGAAAAAACGCCTGGCAGCCAATCCTCGGGACACAAAAGTGAAGAAGAAATTGAGAGACCTGCAGCTGCACCCAGGTTTCCCTAACCCTGCAGTGGCTCAGGCCTACCTTCAGCCCGTGGTGGAGCAGTCGGACAGTACCTTCAGCTGGGGGCGCCCTCAGCTGGACATGATCAAAGAATATCCTTTAGCTCCTGTGTGTGGAGCGTGGTTGTTCCGTTAACATGTACAGTAATCAAAAACACGTGAAGGTTCTTTGACCCGTGTCTCACGTTCTGTCTCAGCCGCTTCGGTTGGAACTCCCGTAAAACTGAGGAGACGTTGCAGCCAGTTCTCAAACAACTGGACACCCACCAGGTAACAGACCACGTTCATTGACAAGGGGAAGTGAGGCACGTTAACACCGTCAACACTGCTGGACACATGGGTTCATGTTGAACCAACTTGGCTCTTGACGAACTCCGTTAAAGAATTCCCGTGTACATGGAGTAGATGGTTTTGTGCTCAAATGGCCGAAGAATAGAAATAATCAGCAGTTATAGTTCTCTCTGTTTCTGTGCTTGGATCCGCCATTTGGAAAGTCATCTTTAGATTAGGAATGTCCGATGTTGTCCAAACACTTCTGATTCCGATATCAACCGATACAGATATAGCACGGCAGGTGTGGCCTGGTGGTTAAGGATGTGAAGTGCAGCCCGCTCTCTAAAGCAGTGTTCCTCAATTATCTTCTCGTCTTTAGACTCAGCTGCGGATCGACTCGTTCTTCCGGATGGAGCAGCAGGAGAAGAACGCCATACGCAGCCAGCGGCTTCGCCGAGCAGTCACCTGTTTGAAAAGGAAGGAGAAGGGAGGAAGTGAAGAAGACGGCGAGGAGGAGAGAAGTCCACCAGTCAGAGGGAAGGTCGTAAAAAAAGGAGCTGGAGTTAAAGACGGAGAGGTGGAGGGACCTGTTGCTGCAGGTGGAGGGTTCCTGGGCTCCGCGCCGACTGTTGAACCTCCACCTGTGTCTGTGATGGACGTGAGCAGCGTCAGACAGGAAGTTCCCTTAGTGAACTCTGTCAGTCGCCGTAAACCGCCTGGGAGCAGCAGCAGCTCCAGCGACGACAGTGACGTGGGCGGCGACACGGCGGTCATGGTCCGAGCCAAGTCTGTCTTTGACAAGAGCGCACGGGGCCGAGGGGTGAGGGGTAAACGAGGGAGAGGAGGACAGAGGAGGAAAACATGAGAGCGTCTGACTGTCGTACACGTGGTCACATGACTCCAGTCGACGGCCTCTAATTCTGACGTAATCTGTGGATTGAATTATGACTGAATCAACAGTTTGGGATATTTATGAAAATAAAAAAAATGAAATAAAGTGTTAAAACTGTGGATTGTCGCTCTGTTAAACATTCTGAAACATATATGCATTTCCTGTCATACTAACGGTGCTAATAGTGAGGACGTGAAGTCGTATCACCAGAAACTCAACCTTGGGGTCGGGACCCCAGATGGGGTCGCCAGGACTTCAAATTGGGTCGCGTAAAGAAGGATATAAAATAAAAAATAAAAAAGTCTCAACTAATGAGATATTAAGGCGAGATCATTAATTAATTACCCAAACTGTCAATTTGGTTTTTTTTTTGTAAAATCAGACTAAAAAAAACTAACATTAAATCACTTTGAGTGTTAAATTAAAACTATTTAATTAGAAATGTTTAGGGTTCTTTTAGATTTGTGTGTACTTTGTCACCTTTGCTCCTCCTCACCGTCTGCTGTCCTGGCTCAACTTCAGCAGACGGTGAGGGGGAGGGAGGGGCAGGTGTCACTGTCATTCAGCCCCACAGCACCAGTGTGGTCGGGCCAGTGGGTAGGAGGGCCGGGGTGGGGTGGCGGGTACAAGCGTGGTCAAGGACTGCTAGACATGTGGACTAGCTGGAAAAGAAGTTTGGAAATCCTGCATTTGTAACTGAGAACCATGAGATGTTAGCGAGCCGCCTGCTGCACGCTAACATCACCCAGGACCACGGAGCCAACAGTTGGATCAAGTTTTTGATTTAAGGAGTCCCTGCCCTCCTACAGCACTCTGCCGTCTTCAAGACATGAAAAATCCAGAGTCCAAAGACATGGAGGAGCAGAAGTCAGACGGTGAGGATTTTCAAACTTCTAAATCTAAATCTCAGCATTTGTGAAGGAAAAACATCTGCAGTTCCTTCAGAGCAGCTTAGTGAAATGTTTTAACATGTTTTTACTTCAATCCCCGGCTCACGGTGTTTTCTGACTGATATAACCACCAGCCAATGAATGAAACTGGGTTAGAGCCGGTCGGCTTCCAAGTGGAGGGTCGAGGTTTGATCCTGGTCTCTGCTGTTCAACATGCTGATGTGTGAACCTTGACCTCAGGTTCCCCCTGCTGGCTGGTTCCAGCAGTTTCTAAATAAGTATAAAGGATGTGTTATACACAAAGTACTGCAAATACTTTCCCTGTAATGCAAATACATGTCCTGTATGCCTGTATGAGTTTAATAAGTTCAGTGTTTCACGACTGATATCCAGATATACAGTGGAATACATTAAAATACTATGGTTCCAGTTTCAACGCACTCACTTCATCTGAAACCTCGATGTGTTTAGTTGAACACAACCCTGATATACTCGCAGGAATTGAGAATCCCCCCGTCCCGCTCCGCGGAGAGGGGAGAGGGGGGGGGGGGGGGGGGGGGGGGGAGGGAGGGGCAGCTGTCACTGTCATTCAGCCCCACAGCACCAGTGTGGTCGGGCCAGTGGGTAGGAGGGCCGGGGTGGGGTGGCGGGTACAAGCGTGGTCAAGGACTGCTAGACATGTGGACTAGCTGGAAAAGAAGTTTGGAAATCCTGCATTTGTAACTGAGAACCATGAGATGTTAGCGAGCCGCCTGCTGCACGCTAACATCACCCAGGACCACGGAGCCAACAGTTGGATCAAGTTTTTGATTTAAGGAGTCCCTGCCCTCCTACAGCACTCTGCCGTCTTCAAGACATGAAAAATCCAGAGTCCAAAGACATGGAGGAGCAGAAGTCAGACGGTGAGGATTTTCAAACTTCTAAATCTAAATCTCAGCATTTGTGAAGGAAAAACATCTGCAGTTCCTTCAGAGCAGCTTAGTGAAATGTTTTAACATGTTTTTACTTCAATCCCCGGCTCACGGTGTTTTCTGACTGATATAACCACCAGCCAATGAATGAAACTGGGTTAGAGCCGGTCGGCTTCCAAGTGGAGGGTCGAGGTTTGATCCTGGTCTCTGCTGTTCAACATGCTGATGTAAGGCAGGGTGTGAACCTTGACCTCAGGTTCCCCCTGCTGGCTGGTTCCAGCAGTTTCTAAATAAGTATAAAGGATGTGTTATACACAAAGTACTGCAAATACTTTCCCTGTAATGCAAATACATGTCCTGTATGCCTGTATGAGTTTAATAAGTTCAGTGTTTCACGACTGATATCCAGATATACAGTGGAATACATTAAAATACTATGGTTCCAGTTTCAACGCACTCACTTCATCTGAAACCTCGATGTGTTTAGTTGAACACAACCCTGATATACTCGCAGGAATTGAGAAAGAAAAAAAAGCGGGAAGATATTAAACAGTTTGTGAGTCAATTTTTCAGTTTTTATAACCATCTGCTGCCACCTAGAGGTATGTTATAAATATAAGCAGCAATTACATTTTTGCCATTACTATCGTCTTTGTGGTCCCGCCCTAATTTTTAACCATCAGTTGCCACCAGGGGTTGAATTGGTGACCTTTTTGGAATTGGTGCAGTCGTTCCTAAAGCGTTGGGTCGAGCACAGAGCGGTAATAACGAAACATTCTCACCAACATGGACCCTAAAGTGTTCTACTCGTCTGCTGCTCCTGTAGATGCAGACTTGGCCAAGGCCATAATGGCTCATCGGTTCCATCCCTCCGTCATCGGCCCAGAGGCCTGGGAAGGCTACACTTTCTCAGACCAGGAGATCCGGATCAAAGAGTCCACAGATCTCTACGGAGCCGTCCTCTGGCCCTCGGTGCAGTAAAATACTTTTATTATTTGTACTACTTCACGTACTTAAAATATCACAGTAAAACTTAAACTCTTGTGTCTCCAAACAGGCGATGGTGCTGTGTCACTTCTTAGAGACCAACAGAGACAGATACAACCTGGCAGACAAGAACGTCATCGAACTGGGGGCCGGGACTGGACTGGTCACCATCGTGTCCAGTATGTTAGGTACGTTGCGTTTCTTTTAGCGGGGGTCATTTATCGTCTTAACTATGCAATCGTTGGAAGAATATTTTTTCTAGAGTCTATAGTCTTTTATCCAACTGCTATGCAATCGTTGGAAGAATATTTTTTCTCGAGTCTATAGTCTTTTATCCGACTGCTGTACGACTAAACTACTGAATCTTAATTTCCTGAACTATGTCTAATTCAGTCTTTTGTATGTATCGACCTTTGACCCCTTTCAGCTCTGTTCTCTTCCTACAGGGGCGAAGGTGACCTCCACTGACCTACCAGATGTGTTGGGAAACCTCCGCTACAACGTCATGCGCAATACAAGGGATCACTGCAAATACACACCTGTGGTAATATAAACGCACACGGCTGACGTGTTAGCAGCGCTAAGCTAATCCACTGTCATGTTCAAAGTTGAGTTGAACATTTTTGTGACAGTTTGGGTTCATGGATTTGAACAATCGCATCGCGTGAAATCCCTAAGCTGATCATTAAATTATCCGCTAACACACATTAGCTACTGGCCTAATATTGCATCAAAATTTAAGAAAATGAAAATAATTTGCGATAGAAGGATTAAAAATAATGTTTTCTTATTCTTTTGTTGGTCCAGACACTGATTTTCTTGCTTGTACTTTGCTTTAAAAAACTTGACGTCTTCGCTAGGTCACCGAGCTAACCTGGGGTCCAGACGTGAAGCAGCGTTTCCCACGAGCCACGCACAGTTTTGACTACATCCTGGCAGCAGACGTGGTGTATTCCCACCCATACCTCCAGGAGCTGATGGACACGTTTGACTTCCTGTGCCAGGACAACACGCTGATCCTCTGGGCAATGCGTTTCCGCTTGGACCCAGAAAACAGCTTCGTAGATCGCTTCAAAGTGCGGTTCCACCTGGAGGAGCTGTACGACCTCCCGAGCCTCAGCATCAAACTGTACCGAGCCTGGAGGAGGGACAAGAAGACACAGACGACGACAGACGACAGATGTCTGTGACTGAAACAGACTTCAGTAACCAGTAACCAGTTGGTGTCAAACTCCATCAGTCGTCCCGTTTTTACTTCCTGTTTTCCCTTTTTTTTGTCTTCCTTCTGCATCACTTCCTTCTTTTCTTGGACATCAGTTGTTGATTATTATATTTATGACAGTGACGTGGTCCAGATTCAGTGCACAAACCTTGACTTTGACATATGTGGGCTAACAGAAATGACTCGGTGGACATATGTGGGCTAACAGAAATGACTCTCTGTTTACCTCCCCCCATTACCATGGGGGGAGGTGTTGTAATTTCTCAACACATCACAGTGGCTGGGATTCAAACTGGCAATCCTCCGACACCTGTTTTCTACTCTCAGACTGTTGAATAAATGTTTTCTGGGGTTTGTAAAAAACAAAACAAAAAAAAAAAACGTATCTTTTTGAATTTTTTTTCCTTCCACACTGACCATGACACAGTGTAACGTCTGAGCTGTTGTGTCAGATATGACATCTGCACTCACACACACTACATATTTGGCTTCTTCTCCGGTGTCTTATAACTGTTTGGATCGGTGATGTTCCATTTCTGCCAACGGAGGGATTTCCTCAGAGTGGAGTCAGTGTGAGGATGATGAGGACGATGATGGTGATGATGATGAATCTTTGGTGTTGTGGTTTCATGTAGAACTTCTGTTGCTTCGTGATTCCACAGAGACCATGTGATCACATGACCTCACTGTCAGGATGAGGAAGTCAATCATTGAAATTATTCAAATATAGCGACTAACTTTCCAACGCAACAGGAGGTTTGATCGGCGTTGACCGTTGGTACGCTCTACACAGTTCTCCCATCTATCACTGGACCACATGTGGAGACAAACAACCATTCACACTCAAATTCACACTGGCGGTCATTTCAGAGTGGAAGCATCTGTAGGTTCATCAGAGTTTGTTTTAAAAAAAGACAGGAAACACGATCGCCTCGTGGTCGACCTCGTTCGTGGTCAGAATAATACATTAGCCCCTCGGACAGTTTTTTGGAAATGTTCAAAAGTGTTTATACGATATGTTTACAGAATCTTCCAAGGGTTTTATCGCCACCTCCGCCCGTTTGTAAAGGTCACATCAAAGACCACGTCCTTATAAAGTTCTCTCCTCACACCGCAGTAACATGAACTCCAACATGTCACCATTTTTTTTAAGTTCTGGAAACTCACCAATTTAGATGAATATCTGGGATCTGGGACACTTTCTATTATTACTGTCTGATCTGTTAGTTCTGACAGCTGTTCTTACATCCAAGCCCCCCCCAACCCCCACCATCACATTGTCAGAGTCACTGTCCTGTTATTGTCATCCTCCAGTGTGTTAATGTGGTGTTGGGCTGCTGACATGAGGAGCTTTGGCTTAAAGACAAACAGAGGGTTAGGAGTCTGGTAAAGAACCAGGAACCAGGAACCAGGAACAAACAAGCAAACACTACTCAGCAGGTACCTCAGTGGGTACTGCAGTTGGTTTATAACTGGTGTCTGGCTACCAGGACTGTCGTAGCTAACGTTAGCCCTGGGGTCTGTACCAGGACTGTCGTAGCTAACGTTAGCCCTGGGGTCTGTACCAGGACTGTCGTAGCTAACATCATTCACCAAACTTTCTTGTACGCTGACATCACTCAATCCTGTGCACTTCTTTGCAGCTCAAACACAAACGTTAGGTTCATTACTGCCACCTACTGGGCATAAGTGTGTATATCAGCGATACCCAAAGCTGTGGCTGTGCCTTTTTTCTGTGACTGACTAAATGTTCACTCCAGTTTGGGAAACAATAACTGCATTTAATTCCACCTGTGACAAACATCAGACACAAGGGGGCGGTGGGCTGGACTTTGGTAATGCAAGGGGAGGTTTGGGATCTTTGTCCTGTGTTTTTGTTATTTCCACACACTACACATAGTAATGGTCATTAATTCAAGCTGAGAAGAAACTCCGTTCTTCCACCAGCCCAGTTCTACAGCAGGTTAGTCGTTCAGCCACTGGGGGGTCTCGTCTCGTCCTCCTACTTAACGCAGCAGGTTCTGGACTGAGTTTGTGTTTTAAGATGCAATTAGATTTTCTTCAGCCTGAAACATAAACTGTGACCCCTCATGCTTCAAAGTGAGGGAGGGCTAATTGAGGGTAGGGTTACCAGGGTCCCGGCTCCCCTCGGCTGCTGGATGCCAGTCAGATCACGTTACCCCCAGGTCTGTTCAAGTAATTCAGGCCATTCCAATAAAAGTCGCAGTGGAAAACTTAAATATTTTAAAGTTTTATAGTCATCACATATGGAATTTTCTGTGACGCAGCAGTCACTTCAAACGTACTTCTCCAGCACGGACGATCGCGAGGCATTCGCTCAGACTTCACTTCCCGTGTCCCGGTGCCAAAGTGCTTTCATACTGAACACAAATCATTTATTGGCCTGCTCCTCAGCACAGCTTATCCTCCAGGGGGAACTATTTCTAGACGACCATGTAAATCAGACGCATCCTCAGTGGAACTTGAACCAGACTGAAACGCATTTTTTAATGTTTACATCATGAAAGAATTTCCACAAAAATGTGGTAAATTCCCATAAATTCTTGATGTTAATATATTTAGCGTGAGGTCACAGTGAGGTCCACGATCAGAACAACAACAACAACAAAGATCTACGGCCGCTCGTGTCACATTCCCATCATGCTCTCCTGCCTCCTGGCTCCATCTTCACCCCTACTTTGTTGTTGTTGATCAGTTTCCATCCGGGTCACATTGGGTGCTGAAGTGGGGGGGTGGGTGGGGGGGGGGGGGGAATCTACGCTCCTAAAATATACCAAGCCCTTGTGATGACGATGGGTGTGTCCAACAGGATGCTGAGTGTATAACCTCAGTGTCAGGGGTCTGGAGATGCAGACATTTCAACCCTGAGGAACAGCAGGTAGGTCAGAGGTCACTGGTTGGTCCTCGGACCACGACCACATACAGTAGTCCTCTGAGGAGGTTTGAATTTTGAATTATTGTCTTATATCAGCAGTTTGTTTGACTGTGACTGTTTGTCCAACAGCATCAATCTTTCTAAATGGACACTTTACTCACATGTACCGAGGGGGGAACAAACTGGAGCCAAAAGACCAAAAAAGAACACGGTGAGGAGAGAACGGAAGGATTCAGGTGAGAGGTTACGTTTTTTTTTATCTAATATTTTTTAAATGTTTTCCAGAAGATTCCCGGACTAGTACAGTAGCCAGCCAGGACCAGCAGAGACCAGCCTGGGCTCCTTGTTTCTTTTTCAGAGCTGATAAAGAAGTGTACCATTTTGCTGGACGGGACATTTCCATCAAAGGAGCTCTGGATTCATTTACAGGCGTCATATGGCCAGAGGTGACAGCTTTGGAAATCTGTACCATGGGTGCGTGCATGTTTACTGACACTGATACCAGTTTGAATTGCAGTTTTATAAGTACTAGTCCCTGACACCATACGTCAGCCTAACCTCCAGCACTCGTCAGATGAAGTGTGTACTGGTGGGTGAAAAACTAATTCATTTAGAAATGGTCCAAATTTGATTAAGTGGCGTGGCCTTGCAAATGCTCAGCAATCCCTATTGGATGCTAGTGGTGGCGCTGCTTTAGTTTATTACAGCTCTTGTTTAGGCTTATTTGAAAAAAACAAAAACGATTCAAACTGAACGGCTGTTTAAGTCAGAAGGAGATCTCCGTGTCGAGGGACTGTGGTAGAGAATCAGAAAGTCAGGAGTGGTAGAAAAGTATGTGAGGGTGGTGCAAAACATGGAGTAGCCCGTAAAACAGTAGTAAAGAGCTGTTGGAGCAGCAGGTAGGTTGAAGGTCGGGGTGTGTTTGTGGAGGACTGTCATCTGTGGTAATGGTAGGGAGCAGGCGAAGGAAAACCTGGAGAGGAAGTAAACGATGGGTTTAAAAACCGCGGGTCAACCGTCCAGAGTAATGGGAAGACCACAAGAGAGGTACAGAAAAGGTGGGGATGAGGATTGTCAGCAAAGGTCAAGGGTCAGGTTGCCGAGGCAGTAGTGAGAGCTGCTGTGATCTCAGTGTTTCAGCTGAGTTGGAGGCGGAACCTGGTACTGACCCAGATGGACCGGGTCGGAATCGAGCAAGACGAAAACTTTGGCTGTAGTTTTGACACTAACACTGGTGAATACTGTTGGTTCCACTCAGGCTCTGGCTCTGTGCCACTACCTCGACACCCACCATCAACAGCTCAGTCTTCCTGACAAGGCGGTCCTGGAAATCGCAGCAGGAACTGGACTTGTGTCCATCGTGGCATCACTCCTGGGTACGTAAAAGGACAAACCCCTGACAGAAATAGAAAACTGAACTCTCGCCACTGTGCATAATCCATTTGTAATCTCTGGCCTCTGGGCCGGAGTCCGAGTATGTAGCTGTAAACTTTAAAGCTAGCGGGAAGAAAACAAATGGCAAAAAAACAAAAAAAAAAAACAAGATAAAGATGAATTTATTTACAAAGAGACACCATTTGAGCAAAAATGAAGAAATGCATAGAAATAAAAGAATAACTAATGAGCTGATGCAAACACACCAGCCCAGTAGGTGGCGCTAATGTTTCTAACATTTGTCAGCCAGAAGTTGACGCACATTAATGCACCAGGTCACATCAACATGTCTGTCTTATCAGGTGCATGGGCGACAGCCATCGACCTTCCAGAGACTATGAACAACCTGAGATTCAACCTGAGCAGGAACACAAGGGGGCACTGCAAATATCTGCCCCAGGTTGCAGTGCTGTCGTGGGACTTGGACTTGAAACAAACGTACCCTTCCTCCATCTATCGGTACGACTACGTGCTCGTAGCCAGCGCAGCGTATCACCAAGAACACTTCAAAGAGTTTCTGTCCGCCATGAGGCATTTCTGTCGACCAGGGACGACCTTGATCTTCGCCATCAAGGTCAGAATGGAGTTGGAGCTGAGGTGCGTAGAGGACCTTAAGAAAACATTTCATACAACGTTACTGTCCGACGACGGTAGTGTGCAGATATTCAAGGCCACGTGCAGAGAAGACGAGTTAGACGAGGATGAGGAGGTGGATCGCACCGTTCTGCAGTGTGAGAAAGAACGTCATATCGTCAACGAAGACAATAAAACTGGAAACGTAACGGTTTTACTGAAACCTGAAATGCTAGAAGCTAAAACAAGAAATAAGGAGAACGAAGAAGAAGAAGTAGAAGAAGAGGGCGACACTGGAGAAACTGTCGACTGTACGGAGGACGGGGATGAAGCAACAACATCCGGTCCAAGCCACACCAGCACCACAACCAGTGACAAAGACTCCACTGGTGAGTCGCTCTCCTTCCTTCTCATGCTGCTCTGTTACAGGTAGGTGTCTGATTCTGGTCCACATGCCATATGTTGAGCATCTCTGAATGAGAAGCTGTAGTTCATACCAGGACCATACCAGCATTCTACATACGTGATTCTTTCATTTCTGTGTTTTGTTCTCTAAAGCCATAAAATGAAAAGTTCTGATTGGATATTTGTTTTCTCTTCCAGGACGGGAAGTGAGCATCAACCAGCTGGTCCAACCTCCGCTCTGGGCTCCCAAAATCATCTACAGCCTGGCTAAAGAGATCTACCACTACGTGGGCGAGGACATTGTTATTTATGAAACCATAGACTCCTATGGTGCCATCATGTGGCCAGCGGTGAGTATGCACCGTGCCTTAAACTTCATCCATTCACAGGTACTAGTCATTAGGCATTAGTACTTCAACTCTAAGTTTTTCAAATATTTTTTTTTCCTCCACCAGGCGTTGGCTCTGTGCTCCTTCCTGGAAAATAACAGGGAGATAGTCAACCTGCAGGGGGCGCAGGTGCTGGAGCTGGGAGCAGGGACAGGGCTGGTGTCCATTGTGGCCAGTCTGCTTGGTGAACAAGACTTTTTTTTAATACAGTTATATGGTACCGTAGGCCGCACCGGTGTCGATAATGTGATGTGCATAATCTGGTGTCAACCTGGTGTCAACCCAGTCTGGCATTTGTTTTTAGGCCACAAGTGAAAGAGTAAAATAAAAAACAAGACACAAGGAAAGTCCAAACAGTAACTACAGCCCAGGGGCTGGATGCGGCCCGTTGGGCTTTTTGATTTGGCCGCCAAACTTATCCGAATTATATTATTTATTTATATTGTCATTATACTCTGCCTTTTCCTTGCAATGCCCGCACCTCCCCATTAGATGGCGTAGAAAAGGCTAAAAGCATTTTTGCCTTTATGCATGACTTTTGCATGTCATTTGTCTTAGTTCACACGAACACTCCATCTATCTGCTCCTGACCCGGCCCTGCGTCAAACTTTAGGACCAATTGTGGCCCAGCAAAAGGTTTGCCCACAATTGCTGAAGACTTAAATTTCATGGTCACGGTCAGCTGCGAGACTTTAATCTCCTCTACTACGATCGTTTTACTTTCTTTCCGCGGCTCAAAATAAATCCTACAGTGTCAGTGTCTAAGGTTGTTCTGAGACTTCTCTACTTCTGCTTGTAGGAGCTTCAGTCACAGCCACTGATCTGCCTGTTGTGCTGAGTAACCTTAGGGCTAATGTGTTGAGGAACACCAGGGGGCGTTGCAGGGAATTGCCCAAGGTGGATGTTCTTTCCTGGAGCTTTGACCTCAAACGCTCACACCCCACGGGGGTCCACCAGTACGACTACATACTGGCAGCTGACGTGGTTTACCAACACGACTTCTTAGAGGAGCTCCTAGCTACGATGAAACATTTCTGTGGACCAGGGACGGCTGTGATCTGGGCCAACAAGGTCAGACTGGGGTCGGACCTGACCTTCACTGAGAACTTTAAAAAGGCCTTCCACACAAGTCTACTGTTTGAGGACGGAGACATGAAGATCTTCAAGGGGACGTGCAGAAGGAGCTGACTGACTGTTGGGGAGGAGGGGGGGGGGGGGGGGGGGGGGGGGGGGGGGGGGGGGGGGGGGGGGGGGGCAGGTAGGACACAGTGGGATTTTAAAATAAATAATTGTTTTTGAGGGTTCATAATTCATTAACAGAAGGTACTTGCTTTATTCTTAATCATCACTGTTGTAATTGTTAATATTCTCCATTAAATATTGTTAATTGAAGTTGAGTATTATTCACATACTGTACTTAAAAATAATAATAAATAATAAATAAAATAAAGTCTTTGTTGTGATAATACACGTGTAACAAAATATTTTTGTAACCGACTTGATATCAAAAATATTTTTCTTTGTCTACTATTTTTCCACTTATAAAAAATAAAAATATTTTAAAAAAAATTAAAGTATTGTTTGAATTGTTTTAATTTAATCTTTTGATTTATTTTGCTGGTGTAAGTTTAAATATTTAAGTAAACGTAAAAATGGTTTAGGACGGTGTTAGTTCTTATTAAAATGATTGTGCTCTGGTTTTGAGACACTAGAGGGAACCAGAGAAAGACAATATATACAGTAGTTTTATTTGCCACTCCAGAGTAGAGGTTCTGCTCTACGAAACTAACCTGTCGAGTCACTAAATTCTTTAGACAGTAAATAAACTTTCGCTTTCGTCATGACCGTCGTATGTATTTCCGACTTTGCAGCCACTCAACTCTTCTGCACCCCCCCACCCCCACGAAAGAAAACAACACACACAGCAACCATGGACTGAGTGCTCATTTAGCTACATTATAGAGAAACAACAGCAAAGTAGAACTGTTAATAAGCATTCCTTAAAAAGGACAGACAGTGAGGGAGAAACTTTGTTTTTTTTCTGGACTCACCCTTTGACCACAGCACCTAAAAAGTAACTGTTGAGCTCTAGACCACTTCAGGTCCACGTCACTCTGCAGACACTGGACCACCACGGTCACAGCTCAGACCCAGAGCCAACAGTTTAAACACATGCTCAGCAGTTCCACAGCCACACCATGAAAATGGACCAGAGTCACAACAACCCTGAGCAGAGAGTCGCCCCCTACTGGAGGACCTCGCTGACAGGAAAACAACATGACAGGAAACAACAGAAAGTAAACCAACCAGAGCAGAGACTGGTGGCCATTTACTGGTACTGCTATGGTTCACACAAACACATGCAAACAAACACTCATACACACGTTCACAACAAGGCAACAGCAGCCTAGCCGAACACAGCAGCGGTGCAGCGACCGCACAAAATAGAAGAAAAACGACGCCCCCTACCGTGTTGAAGCTCTTCGGGACAAACTATCTGGAAAATAAACCAGAGAGCATCCTGTCAGTACTGCAGTACATTTGTCCAACAATGACTTTGTTATTAAATGAAGACCCGCGTTTGACTCCACAGATCTGTCTCACCTGGTCCTTCAGTTCCAGGACTGGACTCTGACTCTGGACGACGTCCACCTGGTCTCCGTGAGCCGAAGTCCCAGCGTTTCTGTTCATTCAAACATCGTTGACAACAAGTTTAATCCAGTGTAGACGTCACTGACGCTGGACTTCAAACACTACAGTTTGACTCCAGGAGTGAACAGCTTCTCCAAACACACGCTCACCACGAAGCTCACGTTTTTAATGAGCTTCAGCAAAACAAAAAAAGAATAAATGAAACGTTTCCTTCCACTTTATGTGAAGGCTAAGCTAGTCTGCTGACACGAATCCACTGAGTCAAAACGCCAACATTAGGAAATTAAAGTCCAAAAGTCTCTAACATTTCTGCCGGAGCCGTTTATCAGAGCCAGGTCGAGCAAAAACTCCGTTCACTGGCGGTGGACTTTTCGGCGTCTGACGTCATGCGCCGTTGCAGACGCACAGCAGCGTCGTTGGAGTAGGAAGAAGAGGATGATGAAGATTTGTTTAAAAGCAGAAATGAACTCGATTCGAATGTGACTTTGTTATTTTTGTTTCTCTCCTGGTTTTATCTCTGATTTGGAAAGAAATATAAACAAAAATATAACAGAAAAATTTTAGTCATTACTGTTGAGGATGTTGAAATCTGAAAAAAAAACCCTTTTAGATTTTCGCCCAGAATGTAAATATCACTAACTTACATTGAGCATATTTTTTAAAAAAGGTTAATAAAAATATCCCAAAATAAACTGTAAAATTTGGAGGCCATCTGCTGGTAGAATGCTGTCATTCATTCCAGTGTGTTCATTTAAATATCAGTCAGCGTTTTCCCTTAATGACCCCCCCCCCACACACACACACACACAAAATCACGATAACATCGAACAACTTTATTGTAAATTCAGTAGTTACATCTGACCTGTGGATTTACTAACTAATTACTGTTACTAACTAAACTGCTGACGTCAGTAGGGCAGCCACAGAGGAAGACGATCCTAACAGGGATCGTCTGTTCAAACACAGAAAAAAAGATATAAAGATAAAAAATATTACGTATATACAACATGTCTGTGTAGGTTCTCAGTCATCCAGGTCATTTAATCCAAAAATAGTTACATCGATGGCAAATGGACGAAGTAAGATCCAAGAGGCGTCTTCAGTCTTCTGACTGACTATTGGGACATTCTGGTGTTTAGCCTCAAAGGGGGCTGCATACCCGTGACGAGGGTCAGTGCAGCTACGGTGTCACTCTCCAATAGTCAGTCAGAACTGAAGAAGCCTCTTGGATCAGAGCTGGAACCTACTTCGTCCAGTTGCCCTGGATGTAACTATTTTTGTATTATATACAACATTTTTACATGGTCTGAGGTTTCAACAGCTGTTTCGGTAAAATCCAACATTTTTAACAAACTCTGAAGGCAACAGTGACAGTGTTCAACACCTAAAAGTTAGAAACGCGTCAAACCTCCCGATATTTTAACTAATGTAGAAAAAGAAAGTGGAAGACAATGAAAACAAAGAAAGGCAAAAACCATAAAAAGTCCGACAAACCAAAGGAGCTCTGATTTAATATCACTAAGATTCTTTAAAGGTGTAGAACAAATGACAACTATTATCATTATGGTATAATTACTGTTATCATTATTACAACTGCTGTTACTATGATTACTAATGATCCGTGCGGTGCTGCTGTGGCCTTGGTACAAGTGTTTCATTTGTGCGTTCTCCTGCACGACTCGTGATCGTTTCACAGTGATATTCGGCTGTTGGTGGCGCTCTTCTAGTTTTGATCCACGGAGAAGTTTGATTCCGATCTGTTGGGAGAAAAATTCAATTGATATTTTAAATGGTAAACAACGGAACATGAGGACTTATGGGAGATGGGGGGGGTGTTGGAGGGTGGGG